GATGAACAACGATTGACACATCCACCCAGCAGTTTGTGGTTTTGCTGGTTGCTTGCGATGTGATAAGAGTATTATGGAAATTAGTGTGGCTGTTATTTGACATGTAACTCCATCTTAAACAAGAATTGTTGCTTTTGTATTTCTGTAAAGGAGTTTTAGTTGTGTGTAGAGGTGCCGACACAAACATGTTTGTTTCCATCTTAACTAAATTCATCTAATCATGAACTTTTACTTCATTTATCGACAATTCTCGTTGGCCCTTTTGTCTCGGTCAGTGAGCCCCTTTGGCGCTTTTTCAGGGTGGAACTTTTGCTAAATAGCTTGTGGCTTAAAGGATTATTATCTGCAGTATTTAATTAGTTTTTTTTGATGATTCTCTAGAGCGGATACTTCAAAATCATACAAATGGAGGTGATCTCTGTAAATTTGCCACTGACCGCGCTGCAATCAATAAATGGTATGCCTCTTAAGACGGTGGACAACTTTAAGTATCTAGGCTCTCGGGTAAACAGCACAAACCAGGATATCAGGGTGCGCAAGGCGATGGTGTGGTGATCAAGCCTCTCAAGAGAGCCCAAGATCAGATTCTTCTGGGCGACAGTCAAGTCCATTCTCCTGTACGGTAGCGAATGCTGGTCCCTCAATACATCGCTGGAGAAGTCTCTTGATGGTATACCAGGATGCTCCGGGCTGTTCAAGACATCAGCTGGTGGGACAATCATCACACTCTATGATGACCTGCCACACATCACAGATCGTATCGCCTGGAGGAGACTTGGCATTGCCGGCCATTGTTGCCACCATAGGGAGCTTCCTGCCAGCCAGCTCGTTCTTTGGGAGCCATTCCAAAGCTGGCAGAAGCCGGGAAGACCTGCCACCACCTTCCTGGGCACCCTAAAGGGGGATACTGGTGTGACCACCTCAGCCGAGCTCTCCGCATGCATGACCAACAGGATGGATTGGAACCAAAGACGTGAAGCTCGACTGAGGCCGCCAAGATGATGATGATGATAGAAATGGAATCCAAAGCGACTCAGCTTGCTATAATCCAAGGCATGTAGAAGGAGGCAATGCTTTTAATCTTTCAACAGTAGGCGCCTGCAAAACTTACAAGGAGTGAAATAATGCCAAAAAAAGAGAAAACATTTTCATTCATGTCTCTCTGTGGTCGAGGTCGGCTGAACGCCTCCATAACTCCTTGTCACTGATCTTAACCTGCGTCTGGCTCTCCAGTCTGGGAATGTAGTGTTTTGTCAGCCATTTTAAGTTCTTTTGTGCACGTTCCTCTTTAAGAGCATTTCTTTTCTGGCACAGGAATCCTGCGCATATTGTTTAGAGAGTGGGGGACCTTGGAGCGAACAGATACAGAGGAAGTGAGTCATTGCGCTGCTGCCCTTTCAAAGCTTCACTCTGAAACTTGGCCGCCACAGAGCCGAGGTGCGTTTGTGACCTTTGATGCATAGATGGTGTGTGTATAATGACGAAGAAGTCTGGTGATGCAGCCGAGCGATGCGCGCAAAGGAAGCACGTTTTATGGGGTTTAACGAGCTGTTTCATGCAACGACTGCTGCTTAGAGATTTTAATGTACAGAGGAGCGGTTGCTGTGTCACGAGAGAGTAAACGTACAAAAATAGTGCGCCTGTGTGCACATTTCAGGCGTGCGTACACACACGTGAGCGCCACGTCTGCATGACACACAACCCTGCAAAACGGAGATATTTTTAGAAAAGCATTCCCAGCGACTACCTGAACCAGGTTTGAACCTACATGATTTACTGCTATTATAAATTCCAACAAAACTGTGATCTCCAGCCGGCTTCCTTTCATTACAGCGACTAGACATCAATCAACAGAGGAAGTAAGTCAGACGCACGAGGCGTGTAAAATGCAAAAGGGGTGATTTTTTTTTTTTTTTTTTTGGTCCTCCTGCGCCATACTTAATCAGAATTAATCAAAAGAGTTCCTAATTCATCACCCGTGGCCTACTGTATGTTAAAGCCTCTTTAATCTGGTGAGTGTCTATTTTTCAGATGATTACACTCTTGTCCCTGAGGCAGAATCGGCCACTCAAAGCACTGTTGAGCATAGCAACACCTCAGCATTAAGACTTCAGGGAATTAAAAGATCACAGAAAATGTGTTTTTCTAATCAGACTATTAGTTAATCAAGCAAATGTCATGGATGTATATTTGCAAACATACTGCGTGTATCACGTAGTACATGTTGGACTGTAAATAACATGTTTGCAGTTTCTCTATTTTGGATTTTTATTCTGTTCAATTGAATTCTGCTTCTGGTTAAAAATTGGCTTTCTGGAAGCTGTGGATGGCCAAACTATGCAAATCCCTCCCGATATGATCTACCGCTTGGTTTTTTTGCATCCTTCCGCTCGGCTCGGATTAATGACTCTGAGGTTTTTACATAATTGTTTCATTTATTTTATCGCGAGCCCGCAAAACAGGTGTACGCATCAGAGATTCGCAGCAGAAGCATCGAGGTGCTGACACCATTTCGAGAGCCCGCTTGAGAGCTATTTTGGGTGAGCACCTCGCATTTTCCCCCCCTGACAGCTCCTTCGACAGTTGTGACAGGTAAAGGTCAGGGAGAGAAGATTGTTGAATCTGGGTGAATGTAGTTACCCCTTTATTACCAGGACCCAGCGCTCACTTCTTCGGAGGTTTCGTGTCAAACCGTGTGGGTAGAGAAAGCACATGAACAGGAAGTGGAAAGCAGCCTCGTGAAAGGATTACAAGGCGGTCATCGTCACACCATCTTTTTCCTCATCGTCTCAATCTCTTACTCATAATCTGTTGTCAAAAAACTCATCTTTTTTTTTCTCCGTCTCATTTCATTTCAGCCCCTCCTTATCATTAAAGCTCCTAAACTTGCCTTTCTTTTGATGCTCCTCAGTCTCTCGCTGTTTGAAATCGCTCCGCTATTTCCATATCTTTCTTTCTCCTTTCCTGGTTTTCTGTCACAAACAGAAGATTTAGAAAATGAAGATTGTAGATCAAAAGCAGACAAAGGCGCTGGCTTTAATCAGTCAAGTAATACTTCATTGAGTGAGTTTGGAGAACTCGCCGCACGGTCACAGGATTTAATTAACGGAACATGGTCCGATGTCGCAGAGTCTCGCTCATTAAAAACGAGTGGCTTTGTCACAAACAAACTGCGAGTCTGACCTTTCATCGAAGATGCGTTATTGCTGAAGAAGTTGCCGCGACTTTAGTTTGTTTTCTGACCTTTTTTCTCAGTGAAAAATGAAGTAGAATTGCCAACACAGATGCAATAAATGAAGAATTATTGGTGACTCCAGCGTAATCAGACAAAGTAATCATGGTAAAAGTCACTAAAACATTTGTGTGTGTGTGTGTGTGTGTTTTTAACCTTTTTATGGAGTATTTATCTGTAATGGTGTTATAAATGAGTCACCGTTTACCCTGTATTGTTTGGTTTAGATTGTGTTTAATGGTTTCAAAGCGGCACATATCATTGTGTTTCACGGTTGCGATTCAAGACGGAGATTGTTGATATTTAACCGGCGGTCAGATTTAGCATCCGTCTCACTACTACACCCCTTACCTTCCCTCTTGTCTTGTGCACAGGACTTGCTGGAATAGTGTTATCTGAATCAGTCGGAGCTGCTCTGTTTGTATTTCATTTACAGTGCAGAGCCTGTTTTTGTATTTTTTTTGTTTTTTTGTCACAGAATGGATAGCCAGCGAACCGTGAAGAGACATTCACTGAATTTCATCAAAAGTATAATGGATTCGAGACACATACTCCACTTTTAATGCATTAAAAAAAACAAACATTGCCTTTCATTTGCAGTGTTGCATGTTTTCTGCTTTTTTAAAAAATCTCTTTGCGTTTATCGACCTGTGCCTTTCAGCGAAGTGCTCTCCCTGCGCTACCCTGTGTAAATAAAAGTTGAATACATGAATCCAAAAAGTAAGAGCTATACTTCACTTTTTTGCTTTTACCAATGAAACCATTTTGTTGTGCTTTTTATTTCCCAGCCTGTGCTCAATAACAGAAGTTAGCAGTTTTGGTGTGAGGAAAAAAAAAAAAAAGAGCGGATGAAGGTGCAACGTAGAAAAACAAATATGTTTTTTTTGCACTTCAATATGTGTTTGAATGTATTTTTCAAATCACATATGGTTCTTATGAATTCTAAAAGCCACAAATAAATTTTTATTCCAGACTCAAAACAACAGACCAGTGGAACAGTCAAGTGGGATCTTGTGAGATCTGATGCAGGCTCAGACTCTGTACCAGAGTCTGTGACAACTTTAAAAGCTCTGGACAGCAATGAACAGCCGCTCCACAAGCGCATGGCTCAGCACAGAAGAGCCAGGACTCAGCAGTCCACCTGCATCTCAAGGACAAAGGACACTCTGTTGAAGACGATAATGTACAGATTTTGGCCAGGGTGGACAGATGGTTTGAGAGAGGAGTGAAAGAAGCCATCTGTGTCAAACTGTAGAGACCATCCCTCAACAGAGGTGGAGGTCTGAGGCATCATCTCTCACCTGTTTACAATCCTAAGATCTCCCCCCAGGAAGATGAAACCACATCCACACCTAGCCACAAAAGACCCTAATGAACCCCTTTGTGGCAGGGGGAGCGCTAACGACCCACATAACGAGGGGGAGGAGCAACAAACCCCCAAACTCAGGTGTTAATGGCTCCTTTAGGATATAAGTATCTGGAACTCCCATCTAGTCAGTCAGAACTGATGAAGCCTCTTGGGTGAGAGGTGAAACGTCATCAAGGAACTCAAGCAAGTCCAGCTGCTACAATTAATCTACCAGAATAACTTGCAATGAGCTTTTTTTTTTCTCTCTAAAATTAACCCTTGACATTTGAGCATTTCGGCCGCATCTGTCTGTCTTTGAATACAGTTTGTCCCGACCTGTTACGCTATGTACCAGGATCTCAAGTCTATCTGTCACATTGAACTTATCCTCTGTGTGTGTGGTTTCTTTTTGTCCTCCAGTACCGGATTGGGCAGCTGTACATGATCAGTAAACACAGCCATGAGCAGAGCGATCGAGGCGAAGGCGTGGAGGTCGTCCAGAACGAGCCGTATGAAGACCCGGCGCACGGCCAAGGACAGTTCACAGAGAAACGAGTCTACCTCAACAGGTCGGTGGAACGTGCTCTCTGATAGTTTAATTAGCGACGTGTGAGGAATTCATGAAGTGTCCTGAACATTTTTCCATGTGATGTGTTTGTTGGGGAGAGTCGTCTTACTCACAGGACATATTTTCAGAAGAAAGACGTAGGAAGTGGAGACAACAGCATGATTGAAAAGTTAAAAAATAAAAGGGGGACAGAAACTTTTAACTTCAGAATAAATGGCACCAAAAACTACTGATATAAATCTCTGGCCAGCACAGAATTGAAACACCACAGAAGCTACCAAAAAACCCAAATGAACCAAATGTCTCATTGGCCCATTGTCTTAAAAGTTTGCTGGCCGCCTGAGACTTCACGTCCTGTTCTGAAGTTCATTCACTCAAAGAACAAATCAAGTCAAATTTTTAATCTTTAGACGTGATTCTTCCCAAACTCGAATGATCCTCGAGCACAAAGCGTACCTGCCCATCGCAGTTTGATAAGGTTGCGAAGGTTCATGCTGGGTTACTTATCCGTCGCAGCTTCATTTATCACCCCGCGCCGATGCATCTCGCTGCATCCCATTAGCCTCTTTGCGGACTTTGTTCGTTCACGCGCGTTCGAGCGGACTGAACATGAATCAAACAGAGAGACGGCTGGTGACAAATAAAAGAGGGAAAGAAAGTGACAGCGGGACGGAAGGAGGCAAAATAAGGGCGAGTGTGTGAGAAAATGCAAGGAGGCAGAGATGCTGCGAGCCGTTTGTCTGAGCACAAATACCTGTGTCAGCGCTCGCCACGCCGGGGAGCTCGTTGTGCTGAGTCAGCGCGGCTCGGCTCTGCAGAGGAGAAGACCGAGAAGGCAAAGGCACAGAGATAAGTTGGATTTCCATTCAGGGTGTCTTCGTTCAGTTTGCTCCATTTTGAGCCGAAACAGTAAGAATATAAATGTTAGTGACAAATTCTTTTAAAAGAAAGCTGTTACTTGAGGCTCTGTTTAGACCGTAAAGGAATCATGGAGTAAACAAATTAAAATGTTGTGTTGATAAGGCTGGGGGCTGCTGTCTTTGCACACCAAATCAAAAAAAACTAAAAAAAACAATCCATGCACCTACTATATATGAGTGCTTTTTAGTGTTTTCAGCTTTAATTATGTGAACTATGGCCAAAATCTAAGCGAGCACATTTGCTCTCTTGAGATTAGTTTATTAGTTTCACAATACATGTTTTGTAAGATTTCAGCAGCTTGCTTAAGCTCTCATTACAGAGGAGGAATTGTACTGAGGGCAGGCCACTGAGAAGGAAAGGAATGAAGAAAGAGACACAAAAAAATACTGTTAAACAATCCAACCATGCAAACTCTCTGTAGTTTACATCAGTGGTTCTCAATCTTTCTGAGCCACGACCCCCAAGATAACATAAGTTTGTGTTTGTGACCCCCCAGTTTGAGTTTTTAATACGGCATGAGTAATAACTTTGTTGTTCATGCATTAATGCGTAAAAATGAATGTGTTAATTCCACAGATTAATCTCTTTACATTAATTTTCTTTTAAATGAATGAATGAATTGAATTTATTTCAAACAAATGAAAGGGGGAAAAAAATGAAAACAAAAGAAAATCATTTTAAAAAGAGCAAAAAAGAACAATAATATCACATAATCAAATCATAATATAATATAATATATAAGTGAAGGGGGAAGAAGTATACACTTTTAATTTTGACAGCCCTAATACAAATTTATTTGATAAATGTAGGCTTTATTTAGATTTTTATTCCCCACAATGATCTGATGACCCCCTGAAATTATCTTGGGTCCTGACCCCCAGTTTGAGAACCACTGGTTTAGACAAACCAACGCAAGTGCTGACGTTTCCAGATCAGCTGATAATTTCTTGGGATAAAATGTAGAAATGCACAAGTACCACTCACATGACTTTTTTTGTGCCAAAAAGTGAAACAGGGATTCGTTAAGCTCCAGACTTAACCCTGACACACACATCCAACACGTCATTCCTGATTTAAAGAAAGGAAACACTATCATCGAAGAAACAGGAAAAAGCTGCCATCCGCAGATAAAGATCACAAAACCACCAAGCCGCGAGGGATTCCTGGTTGCTCTGAGGTCGAGACATTCCGTCAGGCAACGTGAGATGAAGACGACGGTGTGTGGAATCGATACACAGCTCCATCATACTGTTCTGCTCCGTTCAACTGGCCGTCCATCTGGCTGCGCGGCGACTCAGCGTTTAGCTTTGATTCACCAGCAGGAGAGTCAATCTGGAGCTGCTCTGCGACGCCTCACCCACCTCATTAGCTCGCGCAGTCTGCCTCGTACAGCGCTCCACTGTTGGGCCTGATCCCATCCAGGCTGCTACTGTTTGCCATGATTGTTCTGTTGCAAACTTTCATTAAGAGCAGAGGAGACGGTGGAGTTTACGATTGATTGAAGCGTTGCGTTTTCCTGAATGTGTTCGACCAGGGCGTCTTTTTTTTTTTTTAAATCACACACACTGGCTTTGGCACTAAAGCAGCCGCCCATCACGGTTGCACGCTTGGCAACGTGGGTTCTCTCTCTATCTTTCTCTCGCAGCAGATACTGGCAAAGATCTTTAAAAGAACAAGGAGGGAATGGGAGAAATCAACAGATGGAGGTGTAGGAGGAGTGTCAGTCTCTTTTGTTGGGGAAGAGAGAGAGCGAGAGGGAGCCTGCCAGCGTTCCCAAAATGTGACTGTCGAACACGGGTTTTATTCACAGCGATCACGACGCAGCGAGCATCGCCATTTTTGTCCTCGAGAAGATTTTCTGTCAATCAGAGGAGATTTAGATGGAGGCAGATACGTACACAAGCTCTGAACGCAGCTTCAATTGTAATTATTTTAGTTTAGAGTTGAAGTTTAGCGAACGCAAAGCGAATACTTACACATAAAGTCCCTTGGGTGCACGTGTTGGCAGTATCTTGAAACTCTATGAACAAGGAACACATGGTGGATAATGCAGAGAGGCTGGGGGTGCCAAAAGGGGCATTTGCATTCTTGCCCAAATTTGGATGAGCAGATTGAGTCGTATATGTATGTTCTCCTTGATATAAAAAGAAAACTTTCTTATTTTCCACGACTATTCTGCAAGAAAAGTGTCAGATATGACATTATTTACTCTGGTTTGAGGGTTCTTAGATATGTGAGTTTAAAAAAAACAACTTTATTCACAAAAGAGTTGAGCAAAATGAGCGAGGAACAGGAGAGAAACACTGAAAAGGAAGACTTGGCGTCAGTTGTGTAGCAATGAAAGAGTGATGTTGACCAAGAACAGGCACTCTGTTCACTATGTTGCCACTTGAAGAAGCAACGCAACTCATTTCTCGTTAAGTAATCTAATTAAAAATCGTGCATTCTTTCATATTGTAATGTTTATCGCAGAAAAACAAAATGTCACAATGTCTGCTTGTTTTTTTTTTAGATTCTTTAATCTATATGCTACATTTGAAGCTAAAGCTAGAAGCATGTTAGCTTAGCACAAACACTGCTAACTGAGGGAAACAATTAGCCTTGGTCTGCTGAAATAATACCAGTGGCTCAAAATGGCTTTTGTATGGCCTGTGGATGCCCCAAAATAGCAAATTAATTAAAATAGCGTGTTTATTTTTTGTCTATAAATCTATTTGTCAAAAAATAAACAAACAAAAAAAGAAATTCTGTTTTCTATATATGACGAAGAGAAGCAGAAGTAGCCTCATTGTCATGAAAAACCAGAGAGAAATATTGTTTGAACATTAAGCAGTTTTCTTTTTCTTTTCTTTAACCATTTACAGAAACTAAAGACATATTTATACTGTTGTATTACTGATAAAAACAACTGTTTCTCATGAAGACCTAGCATGTGGCTAACTGGACATGTGACGTAGCTAGCGGGTTAGCTTCAAGGCTAGTTGAGGATGTTTGGTGTTGCGATGAACTTCACTGATAAATGATGCTGAAGATGTAAACGTAGTAACACGGTTCTGGTTCCCCCTCACAGTGAACACATCGAATTATTCAAATTTTAACAGAGCTTCTCAAATTATCTGCATTTAGGCCTTTGAAGTATCAAAACATCCTAACAAGTTGTAGTTTTAAAATGTTTTAGATGATGAAAAACTGGTTTCATAAAGTGGAACTTTATGGGAAAGAGCAGCACTTATTCCTCCCTCGTTGCCGCCACTGATTTATCTTTGAGCTCCATAAGACCGTTGACCTTTACTGCTTCAGCTCCTCTACAACTCCAAGATTTAGAAAAACCGTTATGGTTCTGGGGAGCTTTCAAGAGGGAATGATCTAAAGTAAAAATTTCCTGGAGAGATTACATTTCAAACTAAGATTTGTGTGCTCTGGTTGTTGGTCTATGTAGGATCCTTAAAGTCATGGAGACCACATTGTGTGCAGAAGAAATTTTGGCCTCTTATTGTGTGACTAAAAAGAGACTATCCTCCCTAAAGCTTTTTCCTCTTTTCACACCATCCTCCCATATCTAACAGCACTTTATACTGTGAGCGCATTTTTCCTTTCACAAGTTTTCCATGTTCGCTCCGATAAAGGAGGACATTTCACCCTCCTTCACTGGTACACGCTCACAGTCTCTGTTGATGTCTCTCTGCAGTAAATTACCCAGCTGGGCTCGAGCAGTGGTTCCCAAAATCTTCTACGTGACAGAGAAAGCCTGGAACTACTACCCTTACACCATAACAGGTGGGTACAGTGCAAATGTGTTTGTCCAGCTGCTGACCGCTCGCATCATATCAAATTCAGTTAGCCGCTGTAACAGACAGAGCCTGTGACCCTCTCTAATGGATGTCAGGTGGAGAAACCATGAATGACTTAAAACTGCAGCCACATAAAGCGCTTTATTGTAAAAGTCAGCCTCTCAACTGGTTTTCACATTTTCTCGCACATTTTGAAAGGCTTCGTTTTCTTCCCTGTGTGACCAGTAATGTGTAATTCTGAAAGCGCTGCTGCTTCGTTTTCTGCTGCTCCATATGTCATTTCTGAAGGACATATGGAGGTTTAGCTATGTCTTATAATAAGTATGGACACATATTTCTAATCTGGGTGCTGTGACAGTGGAAAGAACGACAACTTTTATAGTATTTCGAGCAAAATATTACTTAAACTCCAATGTGTGTGTGTGTTTTTTGTTAATGTAACACCAATATTGCACCATTTATTAGCGCCAGAAACCGCAAAAACAGAAGAAATCCTTTGATTTTCAACTTTTCCAACAGTCTTTGAACTACTCATCGGTGCGGTGCTGTTCTGTGGAGAAATTTAACCAAATTTTAAAATGATCAGAATCCACAGATTTTACGTGTCTCATTTCAAAAATTGCCAAAATAAACAGTTTGCTCGAACCAGACTCTGTTAAAATAAATAAATAAAATAAAAACTCTGAGCTCCTTGGCTTAACTGTGAAGCCATTATTGACTCAGCTGTGGCCAACAGTTATGTGACAAAAGTTCTGTGACTTTTTGGCTGAATTGGACTGATTTGCAGGCTGTGTTTGCTCAGAGCTGAGAGAAGCAAATTAAAAATCGAAGTTGTTAAATATCGATAGTATGGAGGGTTGCCATTCCCTCACAATGTTGGGAACACCTGTGGAAACTTGGAAAAATGTTGATTCCAGTTTTTCTTTTCATTTTTTCTTTTATTTTTTTTGTAAAATAAATAAAGAAATGTGACTTCCATCCTATGATATATGGCATTATAACTGTGTCATACTGCACAGGAAACACGGTTGTGCTGTTTCTGAAGAGATGCAGGACTTTATATTGCAGTGGAAAAATGAGCCCACTGCGGGTAAAGGTGCAAAATATGCCCGGGAACTAATTAGAGTTCAGACGGTTAAATGTGAAAGACCTGTGAGTTTGTGTAGATGAGAGGAAGGAGGATCTTTCAACACTGATTGATATTGTATGAATGTAAACTGTAAAAGATGAGAGTATTTACAGCCAAAAAACAGCAGAAACTTTAAGGCCTTCAATGCAAACTTTTCAGATAAGATGAGATGAAGCTTGATTTAGCCCCAAGGATAACTCCACACACTCACCACGCTGCCAGTCACAGCTTCCACACCATGTGGGAGAACACGAACATGCTATTTACACATAAACACATTAAAGCAGACGCGTGTCGCCGGCAGTTTTTTTTTTTTGGCACGATGCAAATGCTTTTTTTTATCCACGCTGACTTTATAACGAGTGCAGCAGCTTCACCGCGTGAATCACCAACATTTACAAGCAGCCGGCAATCAGGAGAGCAGCGATCAGAGCCGCGTATCAGAGCATCTTCCTGTGATGCTTTAATGATCCTGATCATTAAAGAGAAGCGTTGCGAGATGAAAAACACAGATAAAAGGGAATTTGTTTTGTGATGAAAGCAAATTGAGAAGGAAGGCCACTGAGGGAGGGGATGATGTGAGCTATCGAATATGTGACAGTCACGATTTTCTGCAGTTTCTGTATGTCTTTCTTTTTGTACATTGTGGCCTTCAGATTTTCTTTCATAATGTGGAAATTCTTTGAAACTAACTGTGCTGTGTTCTTGCTCTGCTCCGACCTGATGTCCCCACGATGCCATCTGAAGAATACACTGTAAGTAGCCTCTATGCATATTTTACGCCTTTTTTGGCAACCAATCAAGCAGTTTTTGGAAATATTTGAACTAACTGATGAGGTAAAAGAAAAAGAAGACGCCTTGAGTGTCTTTATGATGACATGATGTTGGGTCTGTGGCCACAAAGAGTTCAAACCGTGAAGAAAACCAAGAATCTTATTTCAATTTAAGCAGAAACATACCAAACAGTTGCTGTGTCCAGAATCACTGCAGTGTGCTTACTCTAAATTAAGTCAGCCTGTCTTTATTTTGACAGATATGACAGCTCCAAATGTCAAATGACAAACAAAAAATGCAAACATTTACATATTAAATCAATCGTGGCTCACTCTTTCCAGAATAATGTCTGTTTATCGACTTGAATTATTCAGTATTCTGCTGTTTGAAGTGTAGCCCCATTATCTGGCAGTTATTGAATTCTTTCACACACAAAAAAATTAGGTTTGTTAGTGACAAAACCTGCGTCTTCTACGTCTCCAAAACAGCTCAGATGGAACATCCGCATACGTGAAGACCCGCCAGCGAGCACGTCTTTGCTAATAAGCAGAGCTGGTTGCGTGACCTGTGATTAACCCTCGAAACACACGACGCTCCGGCAAAACAAGCTGACGCATTTAAGACGCACATGCATGTTATTAGTCTTAGATATAGGGCCTCTGCCGGGCAGAGTGAGAAATGTCAGCGGCATGAGTCACGCCGCTTTAGGGTGTGGGGATAAGAGGGGAAAGAGGACGTTTATGTGACAGCGACAGAATGCTCGATATTGTCTCCGTTTATGTGTGGGAGCGTTTTGAGTTCATGTATGAGTCAGTGTAAATACACCCATGCAAGTTTTTTTTTTTTTTAAAAGCAAAATATTCACAAAAGTCTTGAGAATTGTCTTTTTTCTTTTGTCATTTCTGACAAGGAGGTAGAAGCTGAAATACTGCGCTGTCACAGCTCGGCTGGTTCGGCACTGTAGAGCAGGGACGAACGTACAGATAGAGACGGAAAGTTCCAACAGCGGCTCTGACAGCTGGTGCTGATAAAAGACGTTACAACAAAGCCCGCAGAAATGGCGACTTTTATATAAATGTTTTCCATAAAATAGAGTTTAAACGTAACTCCAGACAAGACACCTTATGTTATCACAAGAAGTGTTAGAATAGAATAGAGCGACGTCTATTTTTACTCTTTGAAATGCAGAAAAACAACTCTGATGCGTCTATTGGGCTCATTTGGTTGCTATTTTATCTTCATTCTTCTATTTTTACTCTTTAAGAAAGCAGAGAAGCTGCAAACAGAGACGCACTCACTTCTGTTGCTTCTGTCCTCATCCACAGTGCTCATTCCTGCCCAAGTTCTCCATCCACATAGAGACAAAGTACGAGGACAACAAAGGAAGCAATGACAACGTGAGTACGCTGGTGTGGGTGATTGGAGCTTTGGTTCGAGTGTTTCCTGACGGTCACGGAGCTCTCTGACAGCAACATTATTCTGTATATCTGCTGTCTATTGCATGCACTGTCCACAGGAAGAAGGATTCCTCCTGTGTTGCTCCTCGGGATGGTCAGATAGTGTCCTATACTTTGAGGCAAATTTGTGATTTAGATGCACAACTGATGTGTTATTAGTCACGGTAATATGAGGGCTGATGGTTAAAATTAAAATAACAATAAAAATATCCATATTTAACCTGTTTTGATTACAATAACATACGCGCTATTCGTGACCCCGCTTCTGTTTCACGTCGCTCCGTTGACACCGCTAATGTCAGCCCAGTCGGTGAATCACTCCCACTCAAACCTCTCGGCTTAATGTAAGCCGCGCTTGTCTGTCTCCTCTCATACAGAAACACGTAAAGCAAAAAAAACAAGCCAATTTTCAGAACGAAACAGCACATACGGTGGACTACAAAGACATCTGCAAAAGCTACGCGAGTAAAATTACCCTGGCAGATCTGGCAATTCATAGGCCCTCGTGTGCAATCCCGTCATATCATAATGCCAGCTATACATGAGCCTTGAGAGTCTGCCAAAAACCGCGCCACTTGTTGGACAGTTAATTTCATTTGGACTGTTGGGCCACTCGCTCTCCACGCTCCACTTTATAAGGGTATTAGTCATCAAATGAAAGGCTGCCAATGCTTGGACAGTGAGAAAGAGGAATGGTAGGGGCCGGCGTGCAACAGACAAATGGCTTGGAATATATCACGGTGAGCGGCTGGCAGGCCTCGTCTCATCGCGTCTTCATGTTTTTTATTTTTTTGCGTCAGACTGGCGATGCGGAGGACGGCTCCCGAAGCCTCGAGTGTGTCGTTGACAACGTCTGAGTAGTTTGCACGCGCTCATAAAGCAGGGAGGCGGGCTGTCAGCGCGCATTAAACACGTGGCGACGTTTTTAAATTGATGCTTGTTTCATTTGACAAGACAACGCGATGGATCCGAGACTCGATAAATCAAATTTTTGAGAACTGAAATGGCCTCCAGCAAATGGATAAGCAAAAAAGTCATCGCTGTGTCGCGTAAATAACTGTTTGTGCCATTGTGTTTAGACGCCCGTGGATATGAGACGAGATACAAGGAAGTGTGTCGCCGCCGCCACACACACAAACTCTCAAAGACAGTGATTCAATAATACAGCTGCACTACTTTGTGTAACATCTTCAGGGCAAATAAACAAGAGGCTTTGCATGTTTTATGACATTGTGTAACCGTTTCATGAGATGTGTACATAGAAATAAGAATGCAGCTGCTTTGTTCTTGAATATTTAATGGAACAACGAGCTCGATGAACCGGTCTCCCCATGTGTCCGTTGTTATGTCATAACATACATCTGTCCACTCACGCTGTGTCTAAAACAAAATCAAAAGACGGAAGGTCCAGTGTCATGGAAAAAGAATCAGAGATGGAAGAGGGATGAAAGGAGGGACTGAGGGGAGGAAAAAGCGAGGAATGGTGCAAGCGAGGGAGGAAAATCGTGGATATTTGGACAGGAAGTGAGTGGGTGTGTGAGTGGACATGATGCACTTTTTGAATGGGAGGGTGTGGTACATGACACACGGGATTCCACACACACACACACACACACACACACACACACGCTCATGCTTGGGCTCCTGTTGTAATCTCTTCCAAAACCGCACAGCAAGCAAAATGAGACAACACATCTGTTTCTTTATTTTGGCAGCGTTCTACTTTTTCAACCTTTTTAACACAATTTTTTATCCGTGAAACCCGATATGACTAAAATTACAACTAAGCCGCCTGTGTTTTGAAGTGCATGCACGGACAAAACTGACAAGATTAAGTGTGCCAAAAAAAATAAAAAAATGCTGACGTACACGGTAGAGGAGTGCAGATGGCTAATGATGGGGCTCAGGGTGTGTGGAGTTTGGGGATTGCCTCGCTTGAACTAGCGATTCGAGTGAGGAGAAGTAGGAAAAGAGCTCAAGGTAACAGTAGGTGTGTCTTGGATTTGAGCCGACATTCAAAATGACAGCGAAAGGTGTTACAGTACAAACCAAAAGTAGGTGACAGGTTTAACTCGCTGCAGTCGAGGTCTGCGTCATTCATGTGTTTACTGTGCAATTGTCTTCATCTGTCACTCTGCCAGCCTCTTTCTTTCTATTTCAAATGAGTTTGCCGTTGGAAATGTACTTTCTCATCTCCACAAGCGCAATAATTTTCTTCAAGGTTTTATCGAAAAGAAAATGTTTACCGCTGTTCTTACAAATGTATTTTGCAGATATCTTCCCTTTTTTTTCTCATCTGTTTACGCAAATCCATCTCTTCTTTTATCCCAGTTCCTCTCACTTCTTTCTCAGAGCGTCTTTAACCTTCACAGTATTTACACTATTTAGCCCATAAGGTATGACAAGAACATGTTTAGAAAGCCTTGCTCTTGTCATAGAGAGCACTGTTTTGCTCACTTCAATTTGCCGTTTGCCCTCGAACATCTGATAAAACAAGAGAACATGTTGTTTTTTTTCTCCACTTAAACGTGCAGCAGTCTGCTTGCACACTGAAAATATTGGAAGTTAATCCCTTAAATGCAGCCTGTGGCCTTTAATCTCTGACTATAAATGGACTAAATAGTAAATATACACTTACATGCATGTGTGAAATGGATTGGTATTGGCTGCAGAAGAAATAATCCAAGACAACAGTAAACAATAGTGAAAGCAAACGAAGGCTAAAGAATGGTTCCACTCACTTTTTGTGCAATCAGCTGACTTGTCCACATATGACACGGTAATTGCAGTCAGCACTGTGTCCTTAAGCGCAGACTGAAGACACGGGCTTAGAGCAACCCCTGATGGTTGTGTAGACAACTACAATATGTGCCTGTGGGTGGTACTGCGTTGTGAAGAGGGAGATAATAGGGTGACAAGATGCACAGGCGACCACTTGAAGTACATTCCCGAGATGTATTTTTACACGTGGAGAGGTTACTGTGAGGCCGCTGCTGACGCTGACGCACTGTTCTGTTCTCAGATCTTCGACACCGAGCTGAAAGACCAGGAGAGGGAGGTGTGCTTCATCGACATTGCCTACGACGAGATCCCCGAGCGCTACTATAAAGAGTCTGAGGTGAGCTTTGCATAGGTGTGTGTGTCTGTAGATGTTAATGGCTGCTGGGTGTTCGCACCGGCAGAGGTAAGTGTATTGCCGAATCTGGAAACTGAAGTTAAACCGTGTGATTTAGAAACAGTATGATTGCCGTGTTGTGTTTATAGCTTCTGTTAAATTTGCTGTTGAAATCCAAACATGTCCTAATACAAATTATGTGGACCTCATTCCCACTTGTCATGCAGCTGCACTTTGCTACTTTGAATGCCTCCCCCTTCTCACGCTTGCATTCAGCTGGAGTTTAAAAGCCTTTTAATAGTTCAGTCTGTGAAATGAGAAGCTTGTCTTCATAGCTGTTTCATAACAGATCGCCTCAGCCCTAATGAGCCCCGATTGAGATTGTCCGACCACCAGAAGGGTTAAAGCAAATAGTATTTAATAGTGGCATTTCAATCATGCATCTTAATTTAAGCGTATCTCCACCGGGACGCGGAAACAATGTTGCCCGGAGGTTTTCGGTTAATTATTGTAACACCTAACGTGTGTGTGTTCACTCCCCGACCGTTGCAGGACTTGCGATATTTCAAGTCGGATAAGACGTCGCGAGGGATGCTTCAGGAGGGCTGGAGGGATACGCAGGATCCCATCATGTGCTCGTACAAACTGGTCACGGTCAAGTTTGAGGTTTGGGGGCTGCAGACACGAGTGGAGCAGTTTGTGCACAAGGTGAGAGGTCAACCAACCCTCAGATTGTTTCATGATTTTGCATATGTTGAGCTATTTTACTTTGATTGACTACATTTATTTATCCACTTACCTAAACCATGTGGGGATACCTAAAGGATATGGCTGGCATTATTCTATGTTGCTACTAATATCAGCAAAAATACCAAAATCAGCTCTTTGTTGTACCTTGTTCGTGGCGTCCTGGAGCTCAGTAGTTCATAGTGAGGATATAAACCATTTGAAAGAGTTTCCTTTTATCAGAATAATAAATGGGATTGTTGTTCAATTGCATATGACAATTTTAATCGGACTTAAGATATAAAACTTAATAAAATGTCTTTTTCACATGAGTATTGTTTTTGCTGCTCTGAATGTCTCAAAGAGTCCTTGCTTTTAATATTGAGTTTATTGGAAAAAGACTGAAAAAAGAAAATGTTGTCGTAATAGCAAATGAAACATACATGAACCATTTATTACTGCATCTGTTTCGTTCATCATATTTGGCAGTTGGATCAGTTGTTGACTCATCAGAATGAGCGGAAGCTTCTTTTTCATGTCAGTGTGTGAAAACGCTTTTACTGTCTACGGATTTCTATTTAGTTTAAACATTATACCATTTAATGTTACAAGTATAAAACTATATTGGACCATCTTTGCTTTGTATCGTAGGTGGTCCGGGATGTGCTGCTGCTGGGACACAGGCAGGCCTTTGCCTGGGTGGATGAGTGGATAGGTTAGTCTGCAAGCTCATTTTTAAAGTTTTTAAAGCATTTACTTTCTTATCTAAAGAAGTGTTGAACATGCATACCGTAGTTACGTATAAGTAATTAAACCTTGACATTTAACATCTCTCTTAAAGGCTTATGCTACTGTTGTTCTGTATGTATTGTATGAATCACTGTAGTCTGATTGCCTGTTAATTTACCAGCATGCATCAACAATCATTCCACCTGCATTTAACCCTCTGAACCCCAAAACCTGTTTGTTAAAAGGCATGTTGTTTTTAGAATGGTGCAATTTATCAGAGCCAGTAACTCCAGAAAGAATAGTCAGTTTTTTAAAAAAACTTTCCAATAGTCCTTGAACTTGTCATCTCTGATATGTCGTTCCATCCCCAAAATTGTCCGAATCTAAGCTTCAAATTGTCTTATTTAAATACAATCTCTTTACCCTGCGTGTTTCAATTAAATAATCTCCCAAAAATCTATTGTGTACGCTAACAAGATTCACTGTTGAAAGATTCACTGTGAAGCTGCAGCAAACAGTCATGTGTACAAAATTCAGCGACTGTTCGACTGCGCCAGGCTTAACTGAAAAAAAGAGTCATTAAATATTAGTCATTTATTTTACAAGTCAATTGTCAATCTCTATTATGTATTATACATTTAGGTAGTTAAATATTTACAGTACGTAGTTACCATTTTATGTGTTGATTCCAGATTTTTTTTTAAACATTTTTGTAAAGTTAGTAAAGAAATTCAGCTTTATTTATTTATTTTTTTGTATGATTCGTGGCTCTATAACAGTTTTGAATTAACTGTAATTCTTGCCATAGTTAAGCTGTTTCTGTAGAAGTGCAGGACTTTGTATTGCAGTGAAAAAATAAGTCCCCAATGAGTAAAAAAAAATGCCCAGAAACTGTTGGGGTTCAAAGGGTTAACCTGGCCACTGGCAGTCCTGCTCATTCTCCTGCAGCATGGATCCTCCTCTCACCACTAACCAACTAATGACTGCAAACACTTTCCAGGCATGGATTTTGTTTCAATTCAAACCTGCACAATAAATAATAAGCCTTAATCCACAACCTTTCATGTTTCATGATAAAGAAATCCACGTGTATCGGTTTGTGCATCAATAGTTTCTCTGAATTTTTTTTTACTGTATTTGAAAATTGACATCAGTAAAATGTGTGGCTGTATGTCATAAACCTTGCAAACCAATCGGCTGCAATTACAAGAAGCAGCAACATCAGTGATAAATGATGCACTTACCAGAACATGTAAGCTGCCTCCGTCTGATCCTCTGAGTGTCTGATAGCACAAGAGGCGGCTCTGTTTGTGCTGCAGCCCATAAGTGGCTGCAACACATTGACCGAGCTGCAGCTGTAGGGCTCGCAGTGAACAAGCTCATTATCTTTGCCATGAAACATGTTTCTCTCCTCACCATATCCACTAACCTCAATACCACATGTCCCTGCAGCCTGGATGCTTTTTTTTTTTTTTTTCAAATGCTCCTGAAATCTTTCCACGTGTGGAATGATTGTTTTTTGCCTGTGGAATTAGTAAAACTTAGCCGGTGTTCCTTTCTTGTGCTTCCACTGATCCAACCTCTTCATGCTTTTCCTTAATCGCGACACATCCTTGACCTCATCCATCCTTTTCCTCCTGGTGTGGCTCGGATCTGTCTAGCTGTTTCCTGTGCACTCTTTGGGTCCTGGGAAGCTAGCGCTTTAACCTCTAAAGCATTAAACGCAACAAAGCTTGCCTCTGCCACCTTAACCACCCATTCCTCCTCCCCCACCCCCCCTCCGCCTGTCTCACAACCGGAGCGCCACTGTGGAGGAGTTACCAACATTTCGATCCTCGTTCCACCCCTCCCCTCCCCCTTCTTCCAGATATGACATTGGATGACGTGCGGGATTACGAGAGACAAATGCATGAGAAAACCAACATTAAAGTTTGCCATGAGCAGCAAGAGCATTCCACAACAAACCCATCTTCACTGGATGACATAGAGATCCATGACAAAGCAAGCGTATGTGTCTTTTTCATTGTTTCTTTACTCCATTGTCCCTCCTCTGTCTCATATTTGAACCGTTGCCCCAGAAGCTATCGCAGCTGCATATAACTGTCCTCGTACATCCACTCATTCTGTCCCACACTGAGGCAAACTGTGCATACATGAATGGTTGGAAAATGTAAAGAACGTGAGAAATGAGACTGGGTTAGCCTGCTCAGCAGTTGAAACATCATGTGAGCTTTTAAAACATCTGTGTTTTTACAGCCTTTGTTTTTTCTTTTTCCTAAAATTGTCTATAAAGGATAGAAAAAAAACAACTCTTATCCAGTTTGTTAACTTAATCGATCTCTTTCCGATCCAGACATGACAATGGATGAGGTGAGAGAGTTTGAGCGCGCCATCCAGGAGGCCACCAACCAGAAGATTGGGATGTTTCCCCCATCGATCTCCATCAGCGAGACGCCCCTGTCCTCCTGTGCCCTCACTGGACCCGCCAGTGCCCCCTCCACCCCCATGTGCACAGATGCGCCCGAGTCCCTCTCTGTCCCAAAGGACCGACCCCGCAAAAAGTCCGCTCCGGAAACCCTGACCCTTCCCGACCCTGCTCCGAGCGCTGCCGCCTCCCAGAGCTCTGCCTTGAGCCCGTCGCCCGTTTCCAACCACCTCCAATCGTCCACGCCGCCCTCCAGCTCCGACCTCGCCGAGATGGACGAGCAGTAGAGGGACCTTGCAATGTCTTCCCCCGGCCCTTTGTTGTACTTACTCTGTCCAGACCCATTGTCTTACGAGCCCAATGAGACTAGCCTGACCTCCAAACACCAGTGCCCAAACATCCAAGTTCTCTAGCCATATCCAATCTCCAACCATCACTCTAGAAGTCTTCATCAGTGTCATCGATGCCATCCAGGCAGCTGTAGGCTCCTCGGCCACCCTGACATGGCCGACTCTCTCTTCCTGTGAGTCCAGAAGGCCACACTTATTCTAAGAATGATGTTTTAGTCCAAACAAGAAACATTAGTAGTGATTTTTGTTGAGTGGCAGTTCTTTATTTAATGTAAATAAACTATTCTCATTGTTTCTTTAGGTATATTTTCTTCAATCAGACGAACTGGCTATTAACTTTGAAGTAGTTGCCTTAACACCACAGAGCCAATGGTGTTTATTAGTTTCGACAATGCGCGGAAAGGATCGATTGACCAATGCTGTCCGTTTTCAGTCTGCGAGAAGACTGTTGGTATTCAATTCGAACTGAAATCAACGACACAAACTAGAGTAGCACAGTAAATGTAACGCGTTAGAATAACACACGTTGGAAAGACAGCCAAGCACCCTCAGAAGATCCACCAAACTGTTCTCTTGAGCCGTCCAAACTGGCCTGTGGATGAGATTGTACCCTTCCTTTCCATTCCAAAGTCCAGTTATATAAGAGATGCAAGATCAGTACAATCATAGAGTGAACACAGCTCAGGTCTCCCCCCCGACTCTACCTGGCCCGCACTCCAAAAGCAGGGATGCCACTGTACCTTTTTTCTCCCTGCTTATTGCCAAACACCTGCATTTTATACCTCCACAGATATTCTAATACGATAACTCTTGTATGTGCTATACCTGTCTACTTAACCCTGGGAATGTTTACACATCAGAAACCTTTGAGCATTTGCGTATTAGCAGTAACGTTTTAGATGAATCTGTTACATCTGCACTTGCGTCTCTAACACGATAGGTTAATGATACTAAAAAACGAATTTGTTTATTATATCTAGTTGACTTAGAGGTCAGTACCACAAAAGTACTTCATAACAACAAAAGTCAAACGTTGCCTGAAACTAATGCTGGACATCTCGTGTGACATCGATGTGATCCACTGTGATCAAATCAGCAAATCGCATTTGTGTCAGATGTAGGGGAAAAAAAGGCCATTTTTAAGGAGTTTTTCAATCAGTGACTGATCTTTGTGGAGGTAATGAAAACTCTGATAGATTCCAGGAGAAGGGCACATGCATCAAGCTGACTTGAGTATGTGCTTCATTAGGTGCATACCATTTGCAGAGCAGCTTACACTTTTGCTTTTTGGCAATACAGAGCTTTCATTAGAACGATTTTAAAATAGGAAACACCCTCTGCAGTGACCCGTGATTTGTGTCGGGCTACTAGTTGCCATCTAAAACGAATAGATTAGGACAGCAAATTCATTCTTAGATGGAACCCCCCCACCCCACCCTTACCCCTCTACCTTTACATCCAATGATATAATTCAGAGAAAGGGTTTTTATATGCTGCATGGAATGTTCCTGACATATATACGCATTATGAGAAGTATATATGGATATGCTGTAAATGGATGACAGTATATCTGGGGATGCAATTGTATGAGAAAAAAAAAAAAACAACAAACAAAACTGAATGCTTACATTGGAAGTCTGTACTAATTTTGTATAATAGAGAAATGCAGATTTTGAGTGAAGCATGTCCAGAGAATAAACTGTAGGCCTATAAACTCTTTGAACTCAGTGCCTCTGCATGCAACAATTGTATCATCACCTACATGTGTGTAAACCAAAATCTCTTATATTTCAGCTACACAAATTTTCATTGCTGTTTTTTTTTTTTTTTTTTCTATCTCAAATTTAACCAAGAATAAAAATGGGACACAACCCGACGTACAGTAGCTGAATTATGACATAATCAGATCAAAAACAATCATATTAAACAACATCATCAGACTTTCAAGTGACAGGGCTGACTTGTTATTATGTTTTAGGAAATCGATAATTTGTATTATTTTTTTTTTTCTTCCCCTCTTCATTCAAGTACTAACCTTACAGCGCAAATGCATTTTGCACTTTCCAGTCTTTGACACCTTATTTGACAATGAAGGAATGTGTTACATTACTGTCTTGTTGGGTTTATTGGACCAAAGTCCTATAATACAGCGTAGTAACTTTGAAGAGAGCAGGTCAAAGAGAAGGTCCTCAGTGGTCTTGCCATACGATATTGTAATAATTTGTACAGTTTCTCACTTGCTTTTGTTAAAAAAAACAACAAAAAAAACTAAACAAACTGTAGCTATTTATCTGTAATTGTAGCTTTTGTCTTTGCCTTTTGAGGATTAAAATGCTATATACCAGTTATTGGCCCTCAGTATGGATCTATTATGTATAGATTATACATACTTGCAACTCTGGTATTGACCACCTCTCTTGTCAGGAACACAGAGATCCAGGGACATGTTTGATCTACCATGGGCTATTAATATAATGCAAAATATCCAACTGTGTAACATTAAGCTCTGCTCTGTTTAAAAGAGTAACACATTAGGTATTGTAAATACTGTTGTTAATGATTAATATAGTAGATTTCTTACGATGAACCTGTTCCGAGTTTCATTACCGATGTGTCATGAATGTGCTCACGGATTTTAAAATAGACAGGTTTGTGTTTGTGCGACAACGATGGCATTCCCACAGACATGAAATTCAAGGTTTGTTTTGATCTAGGAGTAGGCTTAATACGTGTATCTATGAAGTCGTCGTCATCTATTGAATTCAGTTAAGTTTACTCTTCTCAATCAAGTATCAAGACTCCTCATTGTAGTGGTGCACTTTGGACTATCCAGTTGCTTTTGCTGACCCCGCAGGGCAAAATTATTTTGCAAAGTTGTAAAACAAAATGAAGCTTTCCTTTTTTTTTTTTTAGTGTTGTGGCTGCTTTGACATTTACTTGCCATGTTAATTGAGAGGTGATTGGCTTTTCTGTTTTCTTTTTATTCTTCTTTTGTTTTGTAGTAAACCTGCTGTACTTTGATTTCGTGAGTGCTGTATTGTTTGAAGGAAAATCTTTTTCAAAATGAGTTTAGCATTATTTCTTTGGCTAGAAGGACCAAGCATTTCACTCCTCCTTCCCTCCTCCCCGATGCAGTTTGCATTCGGCCAGGCTGTTGTGCTGTCTCCTTGAAAACTGGGACCTGTCTCACAAACCGGGGATCACTGAGTTAGATGGAACTCGTTGCTGAGTAAAACCACAGCTTTGTGAAACAGACCTCAGAAGTGCCATTCTTATTTAGCTGCTGGAAGTTGCTGTTAGTTCTTCCACTTATCTATTATGTATTTTTTGTCATATTTTTACTGCCCTTTGAAGTCCGTTTGGTTCTTTGTTGTAATTATTGTTTCACTTTTTTTTTTTTTTCTGAATTGGACAAATAAACTTTATTAGCTATTGAGACGGTGTTGCTATTCATTCTGTTTCATCCATTTAGGTTACACATGAAAACCTTAGTGTGAAGTTTGCTGCTCACGCCTGATCTTTGAATTCTTTACCACCAGCTGATTGTGATATTATCTCAATTTAAAAATCAAAGCCGCACATAATGCATTTCTGGACTCCTTTTTTTTAGATATGTTTTTCTTATTTTGTAGATTAAGAGCCCTGTATTTATCCATCCATTTCACTGGGTTACAAAAAAATACTTTTTTTGAAGGTGTCTAGGATTTTTTAAAACTGATTTGGGACATTTTTGCAACTCTGAATCCAAATAATGACATCTGCTTTTCTGCGTTAGCTCAGGTTTTTATGCCAACTCGATTTAAACAAATCAATTTTACCACTAAATTGATTACATTTTTTGACATTAGCGATTGATTTATTTTAGTATTTCTCATATGAAATTGGATTTTCGAGGAAAAATTTCATTTTCTAATCCTTTTTAAAAGCTAAATGATCCAAAAGCAAAACCAATGTAATATCTGGATTCAGCACATTGCAATTGTCCAAAATTAGATCAAAAAAGTTTTACACCAAAAAGGGTGTAGACCAGTGTTATCTATACAGTTTAAGTGTTACTTAATCCTCACTAGGGTCGCAGAGGAGCTGGAGTCTATCCCAGCTGGCTTAGGACAAGGCAGGTGACACCCTGGACGGGTTGCCAGTCCCTTGCAGAGCCACATAGAGACAAACAAGTTCACTCACATTCACACCTCAACATGTTTTTGGACTGTGTGGGAGGAAGCCAGAGAACCCGGAGAGAACCCACGCTGCACGGGGAGAACATGCAAACTCCACACAGAAAGATCCCAGGCCCAGGCCAGGATGCGAACCAGGGCTCTTCTAGCTGTGAGGCGACGGTGCTAACAACCGAGCCACTGTGCAGCCCCATCCTGCATTTAATTTTATGTAAATAGAAGTTCAAAAGTATTAGCAAAAGTTCTCAAAGAGTGTAATATCCATTGGACTTTTATTACTGATACATTGTTGAATGAGAAATTAGGCAGTTTAACCTTTAACAGGCACCATATTTAATATGCTGATCATTTGGTTTCCATGTAGAATCAGAATCTGTTACAGCAAAGTCACATCTATAGCTGACTGGTAAATGAAAAAAAAAAAAGAAGAAATGAATACCAGCTAAAGTGCAAGTACTTCATCATAATTTAGCTTTTCCCAACATGGAGCAACTTCTGCTCTGTCACGCTCATAGCTTTAACATTATGTTCCTCTTAAACTACATACAGAATCACCAGTATTTTCCCTGGCTAGTTACATGCTTAGAAACTAAGACATTGCTAATTAAAGTGGACAAAAAAGGCACACAACACTCCCACTCATGGAAAAGAGATTGACTGTAGGTAAGAGAGATGATTCATGCATTTTCCACAAAATTCAATTTGAGTTTTCTTAAAGCTCACTTATCGCTTTGTATCAACAAGAAATTAAGAGACACCCATGATGATAACCTCATGAAAAGTTTTTGGTCAAAAAGTGCTTGATTCATTTACAGTGTAATTTCTGTTTGCATCATTCACTTCCAAATGACAGAAACTACAACACTGATCCAGACACAGCGTGATATGGTCAGCGTGTGCCCTCCAGTGGATGTTGCATTTACAGGAGGGGCTGTCGTCATGTTTGTAACTGTGGTGACAGGAGGAGTTGTAGTTACGGGGGTTGTTGTAGATACAGGAGTTGTTGTAGGTATGGGGGTTGTTGTAGATACAGGGGTTGTTGTAGGTATGGGGGTTGTTGTAGATACAGGGGTTGTTGTAATTAACGGGGTTGTTGTAGTCATAGGTGAAGCTGTGGTAAGCACTCGAGCCCGTCCGCCACATGTTCCCACATTTCCTACTCTGTCCACAGCAGCCAGGTCCACATTTGGTGAACAGCAGGAGGCGCTGTAGGTAACCACTGTGATGTTCTCACCTCCAGCTCCAGTCACTGTGCTGGTATTGAGGGTACCGTTCCCTTGGCGGAGGGTAATGCTTGCAATGCCAGTCCCATTGACGCCATCGGTGAAAACAGTGGAGAAGTCCCAAGAAGAGATTGCACAGAGTGATGGAGAGGAGGTACAATCGCCTGATACATTGGTGTCCTGGCACACTGGACCAGACAAATCTGTCACCTGGAGAGAGAGGTAGAGTAAGAAGTGATGAAGCAAAAAGTTAGGCAAGAGAACAGGAACAAAACTTGGCTACCAAGCATCTGTCATTCAGATGGTTGTTGCACTCAGTATAAATGATATTTTAACAGAATGATGTGGCGATAACGTGTTAATGTTGAAAAGATAACAACAAGTTACTTAGATCCAGGTTCTGGCTCACCAATATAGACATTTAAGGCACTAAGTGTTCATAAAAGTAGTTATGAGAAGGACAATAAAAATATTCCTGGTAATAGTCTTCCACTAGCAGATCAAGTCCCAGGAACAGCATTGGGTTGTGTGCAGATTTTGATGTAGTGCCCAAACACTTGCTGACCATTTTGTGATGCACACTGGCTCCAAATCCATTTTTCCCATTGTAAAACAAACTGCTATAAAACTGTAAATACTTGAGCACCAGAAACCATGTTAACTCTCTATGTTATCAGAATTTGGTCTAATACTGGAGAGTCTTGGTTGTACATGCTTTCTATCGGTTTGACTGAGAAGGACACTAATGAGTATGTTATATGGGCAAAAAACATTTGGAAGTGTGCAGAACATCTGTCTACATGACGGAGGCATTCTGTACATTTTTTTGCACCACTGAGTAGCTTTCATTATACTTAATGATTCGCTGTCTTGAAAACTGGTATCCAGTTTCCATTACTACATCCATGGGGCAAACCTTCCCCCACATACTCAATTCCTTCTCAGCACTGCCCCTTTAGACTAGAAGATGCCACTGCTGCAGATATCTATCTGCAAGTTTTGTAGGAGGCTGCAAGGTGGCACAGTGGTTAGCACTGGATAGACTCCAGCCCCCCACGACCCTAGTGAGGATTAAGCGATGTATAAATAATGGATGGATGGATGGAAGTTTTGTAGGAACTTGTCGAAAACCCTCTAAAAGTTGCTAGGAAGGTTGAATGCATCACGAGTTTATATTTTCTTACATGCAAGGTTTATAAGCTGCTGAGTTAAAAAGAAGATTAGGCCATATAGAATAGTCATACTGTATGTGGTGTGATTTTGTTAGTCTTTCTTCTTACCCTGGCAACCACAGCAAACCTGAGGACAGCATAGTTGATTTCAGTGGCAGCAGCATTTTCTGCCTCAATGGTAAGAGTCACATCTGTTCCTGAAACAGTGCTAGCTGGGGCTGTTAAGGTTACGGTGCCGTTGGCTTTACCCCCACTGGATGCTCCAATAGTAACAGAGCTAGGTGAAGTTGAACTGTAACGGCGATCATTGTTGACTCGCACTGTGAACGTCCCGGTTGTGTCTGAAGATACTGTGAAAGGGATGGAGGTGGTAGAACCCGGTTCTATGGTGATGTCAGCTTGAGCCTGGCAAAGTGGGTGAAGAAGAGGAAAGACAGTTTGAGTATTTCTTTTCGAATTTCACGTAATATGGCAATTAGTGTTGACCATAGCCAGGAGGGCACGGAGATCTTTCTTCTACCAAAGTAAAAAACTGTGCAACTGAGCTATAAAAAGAAGGTGACAACGCTCACAGTAACAGAGAGACTGGATGTCTGGATCTGTGTGGACGCTTGTCTCTGGAAGTTGCTTAATGTGGACCTGGAGGTGGAGCTAGTGTCTCGTCCTGTCAGCCGAACTGCAAATTCACCTGCTGGGACTGCAGGGAATCCGACCAGGAAGTCGTTGTTTCCTAATGACTGTGGATGATTGAAAGAAAAAGACCAGTTGCTTATTGCATATTGTTTAGTCAAAGAGTAGCAGCAAATTAATTATGAGGCTCTTTTGCAAGCGTCTACACAGAAACATAGTGTGACCAATGTTAATGATATGTAGCCTGTCTTCCACTTCTCCCAGCCCTGATTTCTGTTTTCATACAGTTCTATGCATTGCAGAATTTATGTTAATGCAGGTGTTGTGGCTTTAAATACAAATTATGAAAATGTAGCCTCACTGCCAAATATTCAAAGCTTGGGAAATACTACTTTGGCTCCATTCTAAGCATCCAGGGTTTCTCATTCATTTCAAAACAGGAAGACAAATCACTTTAAGAGAAAGATCATATTTAACTTTCTTCGAAATCAAAACCAGTCTGAAACCAATTGTAAAGCTTGCTATACAAGGGTTGTTGTTTGGAAAGTGGTCAGTTGTAATGTTGAGTATTTATCTACATCTTTTAGGATTGTCAGGTGTAACATGCCTGTACTAATCCGCTGATCTCCGTTAGCCCTGAGCTGTTGAACAGAGTGACCTCTGTGATTGTCACGGTGTCACTTCCTGTCACAGTGACCAAGAGACTGACGTTAGCACCTGAAAGACGTGGAAAGAATAGAAGAGTATTATTGTGACAGATCCTTAGACACTGTCCAAATGTACACAAAGAAGACTATCAGGTTTTGGAAGGGAAACAATAGATGAGCTTTTATGAGGTGACCTTTACTGATTGGGACACAAGACATGTCACTACTACCATTTTTGCTGCTGTTAAGGACAAGGAGGAAATGGCTTTGGTATAATACATATTATATTATTTGGTACATAGTTGTGGGTTCCAACCTGCAATAGGACGTCCTTCTTTAGGTCTGACACCACTTTGGGCTCCCTCTTGTACTTCCACAAGGTCATAAATGAAGTTCACTGAACTTTGACCTGATGTTCAGACAGAGAAGACAAATATTTCTTAGGAAATTTAAAGGAACTGATGACGTGCTTTATGAACTCTGATTTAGCCACACCACTGACCTGTGACCTTAACAGTGTAGGCAACATTAGAGTTAATGCTTATGTTCCACGATCCTGTTTGATTGGCAGTGTTGAGTTTTATCCGGCGCAGGTTTCCCACTGTGGTGAGGTTTGCTAGAGGACCACTGGACAGAGTTGACATCTGAGACAATCCTGGAAGACATGAAAATTGTTAAAAACTGTCACACACATTTTATTTTAGTTTTTTAACATTTGAGGGAAATGGTTTACTCCTGAAGATATTAGCAAACTGCCTAAAAGGGACACTTCAGATGACTGACATTTGACCCTACATGGGACTTTTGGACCCCAGGCCATTTGGCTTAGGTGACAGTTGACAGGTGACAAAAGAGGGGCATTTGTTATCCATTTGCAACCAAAAATATGTCAACTTATTAGAAAATATATTTAACACAGTATAAAAGTCTACAATGAATACCAACAAATATTTAGCAAATATTCTTTCATGGGGTCCAATGGACCCCAAAAGACCTTCCACATATGGCAACATGAAAGTCCTGAATAGTGTTAAAGAGTCAAAAAGCAAGCAAATGCTGAGACAAAGAAGGAACGTTAGTCTTTGAAATGGTTGCAGTGACAACACGGAAATCCAAAACATGTCATTGAACTGAACCTGTAGAGCTGGTCAGTGTGAAGGTGAGAGATGAGGCTCCGGTGATGTAAATGATCATGTTGCTTATTGATGAGTCAACAGTAAAAGGAAAATTTTCAGGTCGTCCAGGATTTATTACTGCTTGGAAAACTGTCACCTGGATGAGGAAGCAAAAACTGCTGTTAAAGAAGGAATTGGTGATTTGCAATGAAAAATTTGGCCACAACTTGCACAACACAATAATTTACACATTGCCTTCAGCCAGCTTTTAATTTCATTGCTCAGTGTCTCACCACAGCACTGGCTGTTAAATCTTCAATAACTGCTGTGGCCAGAGAGAGGCCTGACTTCGGGACTTCAATGGCCTGTCCTCCAGAGGTTTGGGCTAAGTCTCGGTATAGCTCGGTTTCACCTCCGCTTAGTGTTCGTGATGCCAAACCTTGAGAATCCCTAACGCGTCGCCGTCGTCTGGAAAGCACATCTGTCAACAGGAAGGTTACCTAAAAGTAAAAGGATGGATCAATAATAATATATGCAATAATCCTGTAGTGATTTTGCTAAAGTGTGTTTTAAAATAATCTAGCTATGCAATCCTAATTGGTAATAATGCATTTATAAATGGTAAACCATTGGAAAATTTCTGGGTTTATATTTGTTGAGTATGACTGTAGTTATCCACTACATTAATTGAACTAAATTTCATCAAACCATAAAAGTCTGCGGTTACTATTTTAGGTAGAGTTTTCTCTCACACACAGACTTACCTTAGACTTGGATCTCTCTATAAGGGCAGTGACGGTGCCTTTCTTATCAGAATCTTTGGCTGGAGCATCAGTGAAGACAAAGATCTCAGAGGAGGATGGCGCTGCTGTCAGGGCAAGCTTTCAGTCAAACATAGGGTAGAAAAAAACTGTCATTTGTTTGATCTGTTGGAATAATGTCCAAATGTAGATGTCCTCAGTGTAACTGTGTGTGTGTGTCCCCACAACACGAATTGTTTAAGTACACTCACTTCCAGTCCCGACATACTCAGCTCTGGGTTGTCCCCTCCTCCAATTGCAGTGAGGTTGTTGATGTTGACTTTGAAGGTGTCTGCATCAGTTGTCCTTATCAACGGTCCAAAATCTAGATAGGAGGTAAAGTAGGATATGAATTGACATTTTTTTTCAGATCTCCAAAGATACTTTTTGTTTTGGTAGGTTTCACATTCAATATTTGGACCATCTGTAAAATTCGAAGTCACATGCCTGGGTCGTTGAAAGGTACAAGTATGTATTCAGAGGGCTCCTGCGATGTTCCTCTCCTCTTATCAATAATGTTAAAGGACTCTCTCTTAGCTTCATCTATGTCATCTCTCATGCTGCCGGTAGTGTCAATGACAATACACAATGCTGAGGCCTGGGAGAGGCCCATCAGTCTAAGGGAACATGAGGAAGACAAAACACAATCATTTCCTCATGCTTTATGAAGGAGCAGCACTTTTTCCAGATGTTGAATAGTTGCTAACTCTCCAGAAACAGAACTTTTCATGGAAACAGATAAATTCAACTCTATGAATGTCTGCCAGGGCAGACTGGTGTCTGATGAGCAATTTGGAAAAGTTTGCTTCCAACATGATATGACAACACATTCCACAAACCACTTGTTTTCTCGCATACACGCCCTCAGTGTTCACATGGATGTTATAGCTTCCTTCTGCAACCATTCCATGAACACAGAAGTGTCTCAGGTGAATTAGCTCCATACCGCAGGAAGTTCTTGTCTCCAACAGCCAATCTGATGTCCTCCAGTAGCTCCAAAGTGGCATCCACTGCTAGGTCAGCTGCTTTTTCGTGAAGTGCGCCATGACCAGACTCAACAGCGTCCTTATTGATACCCCCCACTGGGTCCTCTTTGCTTGTCTTGTCAGCCCTACCACCGTGGCTGCATTTACCTTCAAACAGAAATAAGCTCAAATGCGAATGGACAGTGATGATGAAGAGTTGGATTGTTAAGTTTCTGCTCAATAAGGCACAAAACCGCTACACAAACAATTCATTATTTGCAAAGGCTATGGCACTGAATATACAGTGTGGAGAAACTCACACCTATTGGTTGTCATATGTCAAATCTACAGCTTGTTGGTGCTCAATGCTCTGAGTAGCTTTTCACAAACTCACCAACCTTTGCAAAAAGTCCAATTTGCCAATGGAACACTTTTTGATTTTTTGAAAATGATGGAATGATAAATATCTAGGCTGCTAAGGTTGTGGCTACACAAATGTCAGAGATTTTTACCTGCAGGTTTTACTGGAGACACAAAGTCAAAGTAGCCGGAAGTGAGAAGCCCCTGACTCAGCACTTCAGGCAAAATGTTGTCATCACACATCTCTCCTGTACAGCTCTTACAGGTTGGAGTATCCGGGCCTGAGGTAAAATATGACAGAAGTTATGCATGATATAGTAACCAGTCTGGAATCAGGATATAACATATTTAAAAGGCTAGCTGATCAACTGGCCTTGGCTCCTACTAAGCTGTGCCCGATTGTGGATTTGTGTTTGCTTTTAAAGCCTTTAAATCAAAGTAGAGCCAGTGTATGTAAAATGACAAACAGGTTATGATCACACACAAAGTCGTACGTTGTGCCAACTGGAAAACCCCTTGCATCAAATTTGTGATTGACTCATACTTCTAAGCTGTTGCAATTTGAAACTATACACGTCACTCAGACAGAGGATCTTACCTGCCAAGTTCTCTAGAGGTTGATCTGCTCTGATCAGAGTGCTGTAAGGAGTAGTTTTCCCCAGCTCCACCCAGTTACTGTGGCTGTAGAAGTCCTTAATACACAGAATATCTAACTTTATTCACAAAACTGTTTCTTACGTACAAAATGGTATTTATAAGATAAAAATAAATATCTACTGCAACAGTATAATCATTGTTTCTACCTGAAGGGTGTGACAGATTCCTCCAAGAGCCTGCTGGGCAGCGTCAAAGTTCCTCTGCTCCACACTCGCCTTCACAGTGGACAGGCCTCCACAGAAAAATATAGCATTAATAGTGTAGTACAGCTAAAACTTAATTAAGTGAATTTTTTTAACTCTCTTTTTTTTTCTTGAACAATTCCCTGTAACTAGAGCTTTGTTAATATGTATATCAAATTTGGGAAAACAGTTTACAACAAGCTTTTTTCCATTTCACAGAATAAGAATTGAGTCAAAAAATGGCCTCAGTGTTGTGGTCTTGTGCATGAACATTCGAACAGTACCTGCTGTGATGATTTCCCGTCCTTCCTGGAAGGCCTCATTGTTAAAATGGTAGTTCACATCCAGTTCGAAATTGAAACCCACTCTGCCATTGTTACGGTGGATGCTGTTAATGGCAGTTTGAAAGGCGTCAGTCGAGTTGGGAGAAGTGGAGCTGGGTGTGGAGGAACAGGCGCTTTGCACCTTAGTAACTGTCAGGCTGTCATCAATCTGGAAACAAAGAAAAGCCAAGACCATCACTGAGCTTCCTCCCACACAGTCCAAAAGGTTAATTGGTGATTCTAAATTGTCTGTAGGTGTGAATGTGAGTGTGCTTGGTTGTCTGTCTCTAAGTGTAGCCCTGTGATGGACTGGTGACCTGTCCAGGATGTCCCCTGCCTTCACCCTAAGTCAGCTGGGATAGACTCCAGCCCCCCGCAACCCTAGTGAGGATTAAGCGGTGTATAGATAATGGATGGATGTTTTATCAACTCAGCAGAAATGTCCGGACTGGAATTTCTTTCATCAAGACCTCACCGTCAAGCTGAAGTCCCGTCCATCAGCAGCAGCAATGTCTCGGCAGACCTCAGCGGTTTTTCTGAGGATTGCCTTTAGGGTGATGTCGCGATGAGTCACAGAGGTCCTGTCAACAGAGAAGGCTTGTTGGAAGCAGTGAGTGAGACGTGGCAGGGAGAGGACCACCACCACCATCAGGAGGGTGACTGATTGTCTGGTCATCATGATAGAGGACAGAGCTGAATTGGACCAAAGAGAGAAGAGGGAAATCAAAGGAAGGAAGAATTCAGTAGTTTTAACCACTCTTTCTTTTGTTTGGGAGTACTTTTTGACTCAGATCTAAGCTTTGCTGTGCAGATCACAAAGTCCAGTTCTGCCTTATTACATTAGGAATCATCTCAAGACTGAAATCATTTCTCTCAACGACTTGGAATGTCAAGCAAGCAGACATTCTCAGCCTTAAAGCGAATTAAAACTTATGCCTGAAACACGACTGGACAGACTCGACTTTCAGCATCACCTCCCACACAGCCTGCTATCGGCATCAACGCCCTATCACACTTGAACTTGTTCTATGGCGCTTATCTAGATTGTTTTCTAAAAGCAAAATGAAATTGTAGAATTGTACTGATAGTTTCTATAGAAGTAGCGTCATAATGAGGGTGTTAGGAGGTGGTTTATATTAAATAAGTATATATATATATACGTATGTATGTATGTATGTATGTATGTATGTATGTATGTATGTATGTATGTATGTTCGTATGTATGTATGTATATTATTATGTATCTTACAAATATTTAGCAACATGTAGCCAATAATGGAAATGATGAATGGATGGCACATACTCAGGGAAAGTAATTTTAAATGCCTACTTTGAGTTTCTAAATGTTGAAAATGTCCATAGCTATTATCAGTGGCATTCTGGTACTAATCTTTTTACACTTCTGTGGCACAGTTCTTGATTGTAAATGTGAAACTTGTCTATCTACTGCAGCATCAGGGTGTTGCTACAGAACAAATTGGGTAAACTTAAATAAATTTGTTCCACAATGATTTTAAATGCATTTCAAAGGAAGTTTAAAATTACTATTTTTGGTTCATAACATGAACATAACATTGTCTAATAACATGAATCCCCATAAAATAATTCCCTATAACATTTAATGTGTGGGCTAGCTAAATATTTGCAGATCAGTTAAACAAACAAGCAAAAATTATTATTATTATTATTGCTATTGTTATTATTTATAATCCAATTAAAATGTATAAAAGATATGAACATTTGACAAACTCTCACCTTTGAGCTTCCCTTTCTTCAACTTGTGATGCTCACCCTGTAGACTCGTGTCACCTCAGTGACTGTATGTCAAACCTCTAAAGTGTGTTTGGCCGCCCTTCCTGGTGCACTTTCAGGTAATCTGATGCATCCTCATTCTTTCCATTGTTGCCAGTATAATTATTTGCTTCCTTGTTTGAGTGTCTAAACAAAACAATGCTGTCTTGGTTTTTTTTTTTTTTTTGTATGTACCACAAACGTAAAGAAAAAAAGATGAAATAGACAAAGACGTTCTTTAACAAAAAGTTTAAATTCACTTATAATAACTTGCACAAAGCAGTGGACATGATCTGCATTATCTTCCATACAATACTCTCCACATCAGAATGCTCAAAGTGATCTATTGTATGTACAGCTGCATAGCCAAAGACAGAAAAACCACCGGGTAGTACTTAGTTTGGAGGTCTGTCTTGGAAAACTCACATTTTTCTGCTTTCAGTGTTACACCTGCTTCCTACAGTTGTTGCTAGCAGTCTTTAATCATGCTGGGCTTGTGTGTCCGCATGAACAAGCACATCATCCATCTGGCACACTGCGCCATGCAGGCCTTCCAGAAGCTGTGATATCCTCCTCTGAAAATGTTCTGGTGCAGAAGAAGTGCCAAAGCCAAGTCGATTGCGACAGTACCTGCCAAATGTGGTAAAGGAAGTGGTTAGCAGCGCAGATTATTTTGATGAAGGAATTTGTCAGAATCCTAAATTTACATCCACTTTCGAGAATATTTTGGCACCTTCCAGGTGTCCAAGGGTGTGTTCCACTGAAGGAAGCATGCGTCTTTCTTTCTTGACTGAGTTGTTCAGCTTTGTTAGATCCACACATATGCGTACCTCTTTGTCATTTGGTTGTGGTACTGGGACCATCCCTGCACACCAGTCTGTTGGCTGCTCCACTTTGGGAATCACTCCGAACTCTTCAATGTGTGCCAACGGTTTTTTAACTTTTGGTAGGAGGGGGAGAGGGACGCGTCTGGGTGTTGACAAGTGTCATGACCTGGCTCAAAGGCAATGACAAAAACGGAGAGACGCAGTGCGAACAAAAATATATATTTATTTAAACAAAACAAATATAACAGTACCGGTATGAGGTGTGTTGGTCAGTATGATCAGTGGTGTCCATGTGAATGTGTGTAGTGTG